CAGATAGATAGATAGATAGATAGATAGATAGATAGATAGATAGATAGATAGATAGATAGATAGATAGATAGATATCGGGGATGTTTTTCCAACAGATCTTCAGGCCCAGAAAAGTAAAGGCCAAGCACAGGGAAACGTCTATGATGACTCAGACGTTGCGTAGGTGCCGTTATATCCCAAAGGATGTTGCTGGTGCCCTTTGACCTTTCAGAACACCTTTCTGAGATGGCATCTAAGGCATAGGTGTGTAGTTTCAGGTAAAGCGATAGTGATTGTAAAGATGTAAAGGCCAATTGTTTTGTTTTGGGGTTGTTTTTTCATGGAGGGGAGGGGGTGGGGGTTTTTTTCAAGGGAAGAACCGTCTTACTATCAAGTGGAGTATGTTTTTGGAGCGTAATGGTCATTCTGTTTTGAACAGAGCAGTGCCATAGAAACAGCAACAACATAAACAACAATACATACGGAGAGTAACGGCAACATGTACATTAGAAGCAGCAGCAACAGCAGCAACAGCAGCAACAGCAGCAACAGCAGCAACAGCAGCAACAGCAGCAACAGCAACAACAACAAAGCAGGACGAAACAAAGGGAGGAGGCCTTACAGAACACTCACAAAGAGCTCCTTAGAAAAATAAATATTGAGAAAACTATAACATTACATAGTTTCAGAAAATTTTTGCACAGTAACATGCACAGCTGTTGCATGTCTGGCTGCGTGAACTGTGACCCCGGCGTGAGTTCTACACGTACAGTGTGTTCCCGATTTTCTTTTCCGTGTTTTATCAAAGTGTTGAATGGCAGAGTGTGTGTGTGAGGCAGGCACGAACTAGAAGGGGGCTGTGGGAGAATGCCGTGCTGTGAGAGAAGGCGGAGAGTGAAAAAGTGAGACAGACAGACTGACAGACAGACAGACAGACAGACAGAATCTGATACGGAGAGAAAAAGGTAATTAATTTACGCATGGTAAGTGCGTCTGTGTGTGTGTGTGTGTGATTGTGTGTGTGTGTGTGTGTGTGTGTGTGTGTGTGTGTGT